TAGAGTCACTCTTGCTTATCATAACTATGTATTCAATTTGTTTCAATAATACCCAGGAGCTGAGAAGAAAATTTTCAAAGAAATAATGCACTTTCACTATATGATCTATATAGCCCCGCCCTAGCACCAGAACCCCTGACCCTGGGGCCATGAATTTCACAATTTTGGTAGAGTCACTCTTGCTTATCATAACTATGTATTCAATTTGTTTCAATAATACCCAGGAGTAGAGAAGAAGATTTTCAAAGAAATAATGCACTTTCACTATATGATCTATATAGCCCCGCCCTAGCACCAGAACCCCTGACCCCGGGGCCATGAATTTCACAATTTACGTAGAGGGCTCAATGCTTATTACAATCATGTCAACAGTTTGACTGCTTGATGTCCAGGAGTAAAGAAGAAGATTTTTAAAGATTGCATTAATTTTGGTGGTTTTAGCCCCACCCCTCAGGCCCCAGGGGGGCAGGGACCATGAAATTCACAATTTTTGTCCCCCTTCACCCACAGATGCTATATGCCAAAATTGGTTGAAATTGGTTGAGCGGTTTCAGAGAAGAAGCTGAAAATGTTTAAATGTTAATGCACGACGACGGACAAAAACGGATAGCAATAGGTCACCTGAGTCACTCAGGTGACCTAAAAATTAAGTTAAATCTGGTGGTTAATTTGTGGTTAATTTGTTGACCCCCCAGCCTCCTTAAACACTAAAGAATGGCTTACTTTACTATGATTTCCCGACTGTTTAAGGAATTTATGGGTCTCTGTTGGTGTTTTCTGATGTCTACTCAAAATTTTATCACTGTTCTCTGCTCCACCTTTTCCAAAAACGTCCCTTTTTCGAACAATGACGATCCTGTCTTAATAAACTCTGACCTCGATTTCCCTGCCATTTCGAAACTTTGAACGTTCAAATTTTACAGGTTTGACGTTATAACTTTTGTCAACCTCATTATGTGAAAGCCATCCAAATTTACGCGGAATTTAAACAAAATCCAAATGAAATGTATAAAGTGATAAATAACTTTTTAATTAAAACTTTGTTGTGCTCCGGGTCAGCATCCCAAGTCTAATAATGAAGTCACAATTGTAATTATACACTTGAAACTGAATAAAATTTTTCATTTTGTAATTCACATACAGTAAAGGATTATAAATATGCTAATAATAAATAATAATCTATGACACAACTTTTATTTATATTTTAGCTTGTCCATGAACTTTACGGACAACCCTCGTATATGTGACTAATCATGGCTTTGCTGTTCTTGAGAAGAGGATTTTTAAAGGTTTTCCTATGTATTCGTTTCTAAAACTTTGATCACCCATTGTGGCCCCACCCTAACCCTCGGGTCATGATTGGAACAAAAGTGAATCTACAGTACCTGAGAATGCTTCCATATAAATATGACCAATCATGGCTTTGCTGTTCTTGAGAAGAAGATTTTTAAAAATTTTTCCTTAATATTCACATGTAAATTTTTGATCACCCATTGTGGCCCCACCCTACCCACAGGGGTCATGATTTGAACAAAGGAGATGGGTGAACATGACGAGCGATAAGCCTATAGTGTGACAAACATGGTAATGAAAAATTAAATTTCAATTATATCAAAATTTTCCTTGATATTTCGTCTAAAATTAAAATATACTCTATGTAAAATCTCTACAATTTGCAAAAATCCCTCAAAGATTGAAATTATTTGCCTTTGAAATATTAGACACACATTAAAGCGGGCAAAAAGAGTCATTTTCTCATACTATAACACTATTTTTCGATATGAGTAGGTCTTCGCTCCACATTTTTGAGAGTTAATCCTCAAAGTTTGCATAAAAATACACATTTTTTGGTTACCAAAAATATGGAGCAATGACCCACTCTACCTTAAAAATATACTTTTATGACATAACATTCGCATCTTTTCGAGAAATACTTGAAGTCCATTAAGTCAAGGGTCATATCACAAACATGATTTAAATGCCAATGTTCGTCAGGACTTGTGTAGTCTAGTGGTTAGCATGCTAGTCTCGAAAGAAAATGATACTCAGGATTTTTATTGCTAGGGTTCAACCCCAAGAACACCACATTAATATTTTTAATAAAAGAATAAATTTTGCTGTGAAAATTTTCCTCAGAAAAGTTTTGTTTGTCACAATTTCATAAATTTCAATAATGAGAACTTTACTCTAAATATTAAATTCACAAACTGAACATGATTTTTATATTTCTGAAGCTATAGGTTTTCTGCACGCTATGTTCGCCCATCTCCTTTGAATCTACAATACCTGAGGATGCTTCCATATAAATATGACCAATAATGGCTTTGCTGTTCTTGGGAAGAAGATTTTTAAAGAATTTTCCTATGTATTCCTTTGCAAAACTTTGATTCCCCATTGTGGCCACACCCTACCCCAAGGGGTCAAGATTTGAACAAACTTGAATCTACACTACCTCACAATGATTCCACATAAGGTTCATACTAAGGTTCATACTAAAGCAAAACATAATGATTAATGGGCTGCTACTTTATTTAAATCTTAAGTACAAAATAGAAAAATGCATATCAATTCAAAAATTTGAAATGAAGAATTTTGAAAACTTATGGTCACCATGGATTAATATTTTTGAGTTATAAACATTTATTAAAGCACTAACAATAATTATTTTTTTTCAAATGGAATATTTGTATCTGTTAATAATAATTTTCTTTTATTTTATTCTTGTTTAAAGTCAGAAGGGGAAGTGTGAATGTGTGAGAGAAAGTGAGAAAAAAAATTTCAGCATGTTACTTGATATGTCTCTTTTTCAAATAAAAAAAAAAAAGAAAAAAAAAAGGTTCATACTTTCTAGCACACTGGTTCTTGAAAAGAAGATTTTTAAATGATGCCATTAATTTTTTCGCAAAATCATTATTATCTCCCCTTGAAAGAAGGCTTGAATCCCCTTTACCCAAGGATACTTTGTAGCAAGTTTGGTTGAAATTGGCCCAGTGGTTCTTGAGAAGAAGATGAAAATGTGAAAATGTGGTAACAACAACAACAACGCCGACGACAGACAACGGACAAATTTCTATCAGAAAAGCTCACTTGAGCCTTCGGCTCAGGTGAGCTAATAATATACCGATAATTTGATAGATAACAGAAAGGATAGTATAGGTTAGGTGCATATTATAATAAACTCACAGTACTCAAAGATGATTTAATTAAAAACATTAAAGAAACACATGTAAGACTGCGTAATAACAATGTCTTTAAACAGCAATTAAAAACTGACCAATATCCCCCGCAAAGTCAATCGCTACTTATCTCCAAATCCGTTTATTAAGATGGATGAAAATGCTAACATTTCAGCTATTTTTTTTATTTGTATTTCTTGACTAAATTTTCAGGATATTGTGTTCAAATTTACACATAAATTAATTTTTTTTCAACTAACCAATTACAGATTTTCTAACCGATTATCATCGTTCCGACTGAGTAACCAATTAACCGATTACAAATTGCCATCCCTACTTTAAATACATGTACCGTAAAACTTGTTTAGTACGAACACCGATATAACGAATTTACGGATATAGAGAAGTTTTTTGCAAGCCCCCGCGAAATTCTTAACAATTCCTTGTAAAATATTACGGATATAACTAACTCGAATATAATGAATTTACGGTTATAGTGAACTGATTCTGTGTCCCCTAGAAGTTAAAAATAAGAAATTTACATCTTTTATAGCAAATTTTTAAAGAATTTAATTTTTAAAATATTGAACTGACATTTTCTTTGTAAGTATATATATTTACAACACTATTCGTCCAAAAATTTTTGAACTCCAAGATAAATTTTATATTGTATACTTCTCTAAACACATTTGGTAGTCATACTTCAAGGGAAAAAAATCTATATTGCGAAGTCACTATGTATACTTTAACGAATTTGTTATATGGATATAACGAATTACAGATATAGCGAAGTAAATTCTCAGGTCCCCAGAACTTTGCTATAACCAAGTTTTACTGTATCTTGAACAGTTTCTTTGAAACTGGGCTAAATGCAAAGTGTGACAGACAGAAGGAAGGAGAGAAGGATGAACGGATGGAAGAACTGAAGGATGGAAGATGGACATGACAACTGGGATCGACATTAACGGTTGTCTAATTGCCCAGGACAAGTAGGTGAAATTGCCAACGTACTTGTCCGATCGGCAAGTGATTTTTACTCATACAAATGCATATATTTACTTAGTTTACATTAATTTATAAATAAAACAATAAATTGAACACTTGATTTCCGCCACTTTGCTGACTGAAAATGTTTCTGCATTCAGAATACCTTGCTAGCGTTTCTGAATTATACATTTCATTTAATAATCGGTCCGTTATTTTCTTTCATGATAGTAAATATGTTCTACGTCTAACAAAATGTTGTTAATTTCTTGTAAGAAATTAGAATATTTATTCATGCACATAATATATAAGTACAGTGGAATATGATGTATCCTGATCAAGAAGATGTATGTGTTCTTTCAGTGTTGCTTCACAGTTATCTCTGAAAATTAAGATTCATAGAAAGATCCTACCAAAAATAATTTTTAAAAATATGAATTTTATTAAATGGAAACGGAGGGTTATTGCTGCATGGCAGTGTGTGTTAACAGGTTAAATTTACAAGTACAGTGGTATACATTTATGTACAAATGCAGCATCAAATTTTTTTTCAAGTAGCTCAACTTTCCAAATTGACAGTAGTGTATTTGGTCACCTTTTTCCTTATCATAACTTTACAGTAATTAATAATTTTCTCCTTAAATTCTTTCCTAATTTTGGGCAACCAAGTTTTGCATTCGGACAAGTCAAGTTTGAGATCACTTGCCCGAAGGGCAAGTGAATCTGAAAGTTAATGTCTATCCCTGGACAAACTCTATATGCCCTGGCCAACATTTGTAGCAGAGCATAAAAAAATGGTCCATTTAAAATTTTAAGCATATGCATGTAACTTTTTCTAACCTTTGGTATCCATGGGCATTTCCTATTATTTTGTTTATATGACTGACAAGGTTGGTGTTACCCTCTGCCTCATTTTTTAGGGAGAGTAGCTGATGCCTCATGTAGTACCAAAATTCTGCTGCAGTATTCTCCACTCGTCGTCTGGCTACCTCATGTTCCTTTGTGGGCTGAACTATATGAAAACAAAACATTGTCATGTTTCCTTTTAGTGCTATTTTTTTCCATCAAGATTATAAATATTAATCCAAACCAACAAACAGGTACTAAAAGAATGAAAGAAAAAGTGATAAGGTCACATACCCCACGCTCCCCCAAAACTTGACAATGCAACACATAATGAATAGCACGGTGCACTTTAAATAAACAGTATAATTCAAAAAGGGGCATTACTTGCAAAAAATCATCACATCTAAACCAGGGATGGGCACGATTACTGAAAAATGTAATCGATTAATAATCGATTACTTAAAGGAATTTTGTGTAATCGATTACACTCATTTTTGTCCTGTAATCGATCGTAATTGATTACTTTGGAAGATGTAATCGATTAATAATTGATTACTTCCAAGTTTTTATCCCTTCAAATATCAAAGCAATATTTAAATGGTAAATGTTGATGTTATCCACTGAAGTTTGAATGTGTTCCTGCAGTTTCAGTGCAGATTCTTTTAAGGTTTTATTCTGGCAAACATTCTCATTAAATGCTCAAATGAGGGATTCTCTACCACAGAAAGTGGAGACATGATTCCTACAATAAAATATGCCAAGGAATTAATTATTCCTTTCAACCTTGGATCTGATCCCCATATTAATTGACTTGTTGCAAAAATTATTTAATATTTTATTGTGAATTACTTCATAAGAAGTATTTGGGCTTCCTGTATGTTGACAGTACATGTTAAACACTCCTGTACATGTCTTTTTAAAAAAAAATATTAAAGTAAATTAGAACTCTTAGTAATAAACATGTAAATTAAATGTGTCTTTAAGTAATTCAATAATAGCACAATTTCATTCTGTATTGAAATAAGTGTTTTGAGAGCTATTAATTGTTTTAATAATACTATTTGTCTTCAATGGAATGAAAGTTAAACAATAGGTAGTTCACAGTTTACACCTCATTATCTGCAAATCAGGGATGTCTCGGTCAATTAATTAGCCAATTAAGATAAGCAAATACAGTGACACACTCCCTCTCTTACAGACACTTATAACCTCTCCCTTAATTTAAGAGGTGGGAAGAGTTTATAGAAGGTTCAAATATAAGGGGAGATTATGCTCTTTGCAAAATATCTCCTAAATGGGCGATTGATTACTATAATACTTGATAACCATAGCTTCTCTTTCAAACTATCAATAAGTGTTTAATAAATTAAAGCAATTAAAAAAATCAAGGCAAGACTTAAAAGTTCAAAATACAAATTTCAAAGTATTTTTTAAAAAATGTTCTTTTTGAAGGATAAGTTAAATTAAGGATAAATTAATTAAGAATTAATTAAAATTGTGAAAAGTTTATGGTGACGAACAAAAATGACAACAACATATGATTGACAAATTTTGATCAGAAAAGCTCACTTGAGGCTTTGGCTCAAGGAAGCTAAAAATGAGTTTCTTAGGAACAATAAAAATTGCTCTTACATTTTCAATATGCTACGTACATACTGAAATTTTTTGAAGCACACAATGCATTGCAACTCATTCAACTGATTATCAGATGGTAAAGTTAAGAGACAGCTACACTGTAATTTAGCATCCAAATTTATGCTAACATCAGAAAATCTAGTGGTCTTGACCTTTTCAACCAGTTTCTAAATCCTACTTTTTAAAAGACTTATCTTGTCAAACATATACCTGACAATGAGACACTAGCATCCTCCTGTGCTTTTTCGACTAGTTCCACTTTCTCCTGGACACGGAGTTGTTCTGACATCCTTTCCAGTTTATCCTGGAGTTCTCTGATCTTCTTATTGTCAGACCCCCCTCCTTTCAATGGCAGTTTGCTTCCTTTAGATAATTTCCTGTGGGTCATATTAAAGTACAACAATGTAAGTTTTAAAAACATACAGTAAAACACAGTCACAGCAAACATGCTTACAATGAATTGACACTTACAGCAAAGTAATTTCAATTCCCTGTGGCTTTAAAATATAAACTGTTACTAATGTATACAATGATTTACATTTAAAATGAAGCAAAATCGTCTGTCCCTAGCACTTGGTTATAAGTGTGTTTTACATTGATTTTCATATGTACTGTACCACAGAAATTATTTGTAAGTGTTTATTTCTTGTTTTGTTCACTACTGTGATTTTCATAAAGCAATGCAAATGCTCTCTATCCATACATTATTTGCAGTTTATAAAAGTACAGAACTGAAATTAAAGAAGTTCTTATCATATGCAGCCCTTTATTGGTCCTTACAACAGTCACTGTCCTGTTTACGCATCTATAAATGTTAAATTTAATGCCACAGCTAGCGTTTGGTCTGCTAATAAAGATGAAAGTACAACATATATGGATGGAAATTCCGACAGATTGCTGGAGGATCTATCCCCTACATTTCAGAGTACATGTAGAAACTTGAAAGACTGCATCTTAACACTTCAGAGAATTTATGTGTTGAATCAGAAAGACATTTAACAAAATAAGATTGTAGATTACCAATCAAAAGATATGAAAAATCCTGAGTTCCATTTTAAGAAGCAATTATCTATGATCTTCAATAGCCTTGTCTTCAAGTTATCATGGGGAATGGTTTTATCATGTATAGGTGTTGAAAAGTCATACATTTTGATGGTACTGATTTTGGGGGAAAATTGATCTCAAATTTTCTAACTGTCTTCATTTTTGAGAATCTACATTTGATTTACACCACTTCTTGAATATATTGTAGAATAGTAGAAGTTTCTTCTTCACAGCAAAAAATATTTTCATGAGGAGGAAAAATGGGGCATTGGTAACACATTTATTGACCCTGCAACATTTCATTATTTGTTAGGCCTTTTATGGTGAAAGTTTGGGCAAAGAACAATAAATGAATTTACATTATCATAGTACCCAATCAAAGTATACGATTTGCAAGACAACCTCAAGAATGTCCCCACAGCCAGACAAACAAATTTTTGACTAGAAAAGTTCAAAGACCTGAAACCATTATTTGTTATATAAGAAGTTCAAATTCAATCGTTAGTTACTAAGTATATGCCTTGTTTATTATTATTTTATTCTAGGAACTGAAATAAATTTTTATGCAAAATGGAATACACACCTGATATCATTGGCCAAATTTTGAAATTCCTCATTTTGGGCTTTCAGCTTATCCAATTGTCGTAGGGTTTGTTTAAGTTCTCTCTCTAAAGCTAGATTACCATCAGAGGGTTGAAATACTGTGTTGGACATGTAGATCATTATAAGTAGCCATAATGCCAAAAGAGCTACAATAACCTTCCAAGCTTTCATTGTTTATCGAATGTGTAGCAAATGCATTACCTGAAAAATGAAAAGGGATATGTCCTTCAGCACCATAATAAAACAAAGCAAATAGTTACATCAAATGATGCAAATGAAACAGTTCTTGTGATGGTACATATTGTCGTTCTGTACATATTGTCGTGGCAATATGTACCAACCCTCACTGCACATATTGTCGTCGATCGGTACATATTTCACCGGCAACATTATGTACCATACCCTCAATTCACATATTCTCACTTCATATTGTTGTTCAAAGATTTTTAAAAAAAAAATTTATGAATGTAAATGGTGTGTAAATCACACTGACGTGTCTTGTACGTTATTTCAGGCAGTGTGATTGTACATATATGGTACATATATTAACAGTACATATTGTCGTCCTGTTAATATTGTCGCCGGCAACAATATGTACTGAATAGCTACCTTAACTGCTTATATTGTTGTCCATGACAATACCTAACAATGCTTCCATATAAATAAGACTAATCATTGCTTTGCTGTTTAAGAGGAGAAGATTTTTAAAGAAATTTGACTTTAGAATATAGGAAAAATATCCCTATATATTCCTATGTAAAAATTTGATCACCCATTATGACCCCACCCTAGCCCCAGGGGTCATGATTAGAACAAACTTGAATCAACATTACTTGAGGATGACTATAAATATATGATAAATATGACTAATCATGGACTTGCTGTTCTTGAGAAGAATATTTCTTAAATGTTTTCTGTATATATTCTTATGTAAAATGTGTGGCCCCACCGTATCTTGGGAATCACGACTTGAATAACCTTGAATGAACAATGTGCAATGAAACTTTCAAATGTATCAACTCTTCTGGCCCAGAACTTCTTGTGAATAAGATTTTGAAAGATTTACTCCTACATAATCCTATGTAAAACTTCGATCACCTATTGTATACGTAGCCCCACTCTTCCCCCGGGATCATGATTTGAACATAACTGAATCTACACTTTATAATGAAGCTTTCATATAAGTTTCAATTTTCTGGAACAGTGGTTCTTGGGACAAAGGTTTTTAAAAGATGTTGAAATATTTTCACCAATTCTTAAATATCTCACCCCTTGAAATAGGGCCTGGCCCCTCATTTGAGCAAGATTCAGAATTCCCTTTATCCAACGATGCTTTGTAGCACGTTTGGTTGGTTGGCCCCATAATTCATGAGAAGAAGTTGAAAATGTGATAGGTATACAGACAGACGACAGACAAAATATTAATGTGATTAAAATAGTTCATCTGAGATTTCAACTCAGGTGAACTAAAATGTAATTATATCGGTATATGTATAAGAATAACGCAAATATATTTTCCAGATAATCACTAATACTGAACGCAAATATTAACATTTAATCTCCAAGTATACAGAACAAGAAAAAAAGATAAGGCTGATAAATCAGATGAAACAAGAATTCTGGTATCTTGGCATATCATAGTGGTGTACACCTTTCGTAAGTTCCATAATCCATACAATAACCTTATCAGCAAATACACGAAAGCTGACTGACGTTTCTCATACAAATTGTTAGGCCTTAATTTATTTAAACACTGAATTTTCTATGGTATTTCGATTTGCCTGATCATGAACAAATGGCAGGTGTGACAGGTCAACAGGGGATGCTTACATCTCCATGCATATGGCACCTGATCCCACCTCTGATGTTTTTAGGTTCGTAATTGCTCTGCTCCCAATTTTTATTGTTTTAATGAACTTTTGAACTTGATTACTCTTACATTTGTTAACATTGCATTGTGTAACTTAAAAACATTGTCTGACAAGCAGCACTATGGGATCACTTTACCCAGCATCTCTCTATTTGTCCATCTGCCCATTTGTCACACCTTACATTTCAAGAACTAAGTAAGAAGATTTGATATTTTGCACATACATTTCTTGACACTATGGCTTTTATAAAATACCATAGTAAAACAGTTTTTAGCCTTTATATTTATGTGATAGGAGAAATGGGGAAAGTGCTTATTATGCAATGAAATAACCTGTAGGAGATAGCATAATGCAACCTTACATAATTTACACTAGTTTTGTTATTTTACTACATTACATCCAGGGAGGGGGGTCTGGACCCTTCTGCTCCCCCTCAAGTCCTCCCCTCAGCTAATTCAACCATTGGGAGAAGAGAAAAAGATACAGTTGAACTTCAGTATCTTGAACACTGATATCTTGAATACCAGGGATATGTCGAACCGATCTGAAAGTCCCAACAACTTATTCTTTAAGTATTTTACCCTCAATATCTCAAATCCTCAGTTATCTCAAAGTTTTTCTTTGGTCCCACTGACTTAGAGATTACAGGCTTTGACTGAATTTCAAAAATAAATTGAAATTGAAAAAATTACAGGATTTACTACAATATACCCCTGCCACATCATGACCATGAAAAAAAAAATCATTTACATGTATAAGAATTAATTCAAAACAGTTTTTTTTTTGCCTTTCCTCATATTTATGTGATAGGAGAAATGGGGAAAA